CAAATTTTAAATATAATTTATATATTTAAATATAATATATATATATATATATAATTTATTATAGTTTTTAATAAAAGAATGTAAGAAATAATTTAAAAGAGTCTTATAAGTTATAATAGAAAGACAAGTAAAATTATCATAATCATAAGAAATAATAATTTACTTTAAAATATATTAATTATTAATTTTCTTTTATATCATTGCAAAAGTGAATATATTTATTGATCTATTAATAATATAAGTTAAATTTGTCGATGAAAAAAAGCTATTAGAGATAGTATTATTTAATGTGATAAATATTTAAATTAATTAGCTTAAAATATATTTTTAAATAAAATTTAGTTATATAACATTATGAATGAAAATGAACTATTTATTTTTTTTTAATAATTTTTTTATTATAAAAAGGATCAGATATAGTAATATAATCAATAAATGATTAGTTTGAATAATACTGAACTTAATTTTTTTAAGTAAGATTTTAAATTTAAGTCTTGTGCATAAAAAAAAACATGGTTAGAAAGATAAATTTTATTAAAAAAGCTTAGTTAAGTTCTTAAATAGTGATTAATTTTCAACAAAGTCAATACTCAATAGATATTTTATATTAATAATATAATTAAAAAAATAGAGTAATATATTGGTAAAAGAATTTCTTCCATGTCATAATAAATGTTGTCTTAAGTTATTTTATACAAACTAATAAAAACTATTAAATAGATAAAAAATAACAATGATTTTATAAAAGTAACCTTATCATTAATATCTTTTGTTTTAATGATGCAACACAATAATTATTTTTTAAAGAATATTATTAAGGGATACAAATGTGAAATTTATTATGGATGATGGAAGTAATTACTATCCCTCTAAACCTATATATAATTTAAAAATATTTAAATTTCTTTGACCGAAATATAAACAAATTTTAATTAAGTCAATTTTATTTAAAGTTCTTAATCTAAAAATACCCATATAATAATAAATGAGAGTACTATCTATCATGAATTTGGTTAAATATATTTTAAAAAATGTAGTATATTTTTTTATATAAAATTATGAAATTAAATATATTTAATAATTTTTTAATATATATAAAATTAGTTATTTTTACTTTTATATAGTTGAACCGAAGTTCCTTTTGAAAGTCACATGTTAAATTGCATTTAAAGCACTTTGTTAATTATCTATGATTACATGTAAATATAAATATATTTTTAAAATTTCAATACAACATTTATATTTTAATAAATACCCATTTAAATCCCCTAAAAAAAAAAAAACCCTTTTAAACAAGTGGATAGCAGTTTTTACAGTTCTTCATTCTTGGATGAATAATATGCGTGTCTCATTACCTAAACCATTGGCCAAAGTTACTATTTAACAATATCTATATAAATTTGATTCAACAATAAAAAATATATTAATAAAGAAGATATTCACAATATTTCTCAAATCTCAAACAATGTTAGTAATTTTTTTTCCCAATTATTTGATAAATTTTACGCGAATTGTATATATATTTTTTTTATCAATAAGATTTAGGTGATTTTTATGTAACAATAAAATTCGTACTAAAAAATAGATTTAAACAACTCTTTACTTGGTAGAGAATGATTTTCGTTGTGATTTTATTATTTGTTTATTTTGGTCTCCTTAACAATTTTTTTTGACAAGGAAAATTACAAATTCACAAGAAACATGAAAAAAATAGAAAAAAAAGCAAAAAGAACTAAAATAAAAATAATTAAATATGATTATAAGAATTAAAATGTTATTTAATGCATTTTCAAATTTTGTACTGATAATTTAAAAAAAAAATATCAATGAAGAAAAGCAGGAGCAAATGCGTAGAAATCATTCATCGTGACTTAACTTTGGCAACAGTACAAAAAATTTGTAACGTACAAAGCATTGCATTATTGAAGCAAGAAGCCACCATGCTCTGCTCTTACATGTGCTTTTCTTTTAAGCCAGCACTCAGCACTCACCACCATACATACATCACACACACACACACTCTCTCTCAATTCGGGTTAGTCCTTTTCCACGTAATTAAAATCATCTTCATTTTCATTTTCAGTTTTTCTTGCCTGCATGAACTGTCTCCAAACTATTTTCTTTCTTGCTTGCTTCAACTTCATCTTTCTAAAGCTAGCTCTGCGTAAATCTTTATCATTATTGTCTCTTTCTTTGTCTTTTTCTTGTATATCAATTCTTTAGCTTGTCAAAATGCCGTTGTCACATTGTATTCTTTTCTTACATGTACATGTACATGTACGTATTTTTATGTATGTATATGCAGAGAGATAGTGTTGTCCCTCTTCTTTTATTATCAAAAGATTATGGAATTTGAATTTCATGATTTTTAACTGCAAGACATCTGTAACGCTGGATGAGTGAATGGGCCATTATGTTGATAACTAAGAACACTTGTTGGTAGGAGGTTTTCAAAATTCATCATTTGTCACCACTAGTTGGTGTTCATTTATCACAATACTTAATTATAGGTATGCGCGAGTGCGTATAACGGTCACTTGGATAAAATGGATGCATGAGTTTCTAAATATCTGCTTTTGGGAATTCATGAAAAGATGCATGTTTAATTGAAATCATACGGCAGGTTTTACTTGGGTTTTAGAGTTTAGAACTATGCAGTTCGTGAGCATGGTTTAAATTTGTGTTAATTTTCTCTCATTTATTGTATTACAACTCAACTGCAGGATTTTAGATAATCACCACTGCAATTACAGTACTCTTTGTCGCCATTAAGGAGATATCTTCCTTTCCCATGGATTGGTGTCATAATGAAAGTTTTAGAAGTGCAGATGCACTTAGTACTGCGGCAGAAACTGACGAGGAAGAACTTGATTTCTCAAAGGTAGATAAGCCAAGGGGTTTAGAAAGATGCAAATCATGTGAAGTACGATCACTAAGTGAACTAGCCAAAGTTTCTGAGAACTCTTCTCACCCGGTAGAGCATCTTGAAAATGCAGTTTCTCTTCTGCCAAAATCAATTACAAATACCCCAGGAGCACTGGTATTGGATCCACATCCACACTTACATTCACATCCAATAGTATCTGAAGGTTGGGAAGCTCTGAGACGTTCCTTGGTATATTTTCGTGGTCAGCCAGTTGGTACAATTGCTGCTTTGGATAGTTCTGATGAGAAAGTTAACTATGATCAGGTGCCAACATGTTGTCATCTCCTTATAGCATCCATTTATTGTTTTTTTGGAGTGTTTGGTTTTGCAAAATTAATTCCACTTTTGTGCAATGTACTAGGCAATGAATAATGATAGTGAAATTCTGAAAATGGGTTGGTTAGATTTAATCTTTTCTTCCTTCTTTAAGTTGTTTCTTACAGTGACCAAGTGTACCTGGTCTTCATAAGTGGCATAACTCAAGGACACTAGGATTTGATTTCCCTATAACAATCAATCCATGGTTTCATGGATTAATAATTCTTCTAGTTTAATTCATTTCAAATCCAGACACACAAGCTAGAATATAGCTAAACAAAAGATTTTTTCCCCCTCTCTATCCCTATCCATCATTTTTGCTTGTATTATCATGCTAGATCTTCAATCAATGGTTTTGATCATTATATATATATATATATATATATATATATATATATATAT